TTTGAGAGAGTTCATGACATGAACCAAGGGGACATTTTCCGTTTTTACATTCAGCCATTCAGCAACTGCTGCTTTGGAACAACCATTTTGGAATGAGATGGTCATTTGGCCGAGGGAACTTCAAGTTCCCAAGCTGTTGTCTCACTATGATAGCTTCTTCAACCAAACTCGTCTCCATGCCATGATGTCTCCAGCAGTAGGGGGTGGACCTTCTACCAAGAATAGACAAAATTCTTATAGGATCGTGAAATGCGATCTAGTTGCGTGGTTTGTGGTGTTGTGGCTGGCTGTGTCGTGGTGTGGCTGTTGGTGTGGCGTATTGTGGTGATGCAGCTTGTGAGGTCTTGAAGTGCAATGAAAAGGCTGCTCACCAGTCCAAATTGAACGCGTGCTCAGCACGCTATGAAGAGATTGATGCTTCAAGAGTTTAACGACACTTCGTCATTCGCATGTTCTGCTAGTTTTCTCATGGAGAAGGTTTGAATCATCTGAAGGGATGTCATGCCATCTGCTGTGCAACCGAGAGTTTCTCCACTTTGTTCCTTGAGCATGCAGTGTCCCGTTTGTGGAGGGAAGGGGTCTCAATTTGGATCGCATGCTCTTCCTGCGGTGGGGCTGATGGTCTCTCTCTCTCTCTCTCTCGTGTTTCCAATGTTTTTTCTTGTGCGTGTTTTTTTTTTGGTGTGTTTTTTTCTCATTTATTGTTCTTCTAGTGTGTCTTTTCTTTTGGTGTGTTTTCCTTGTGATGTTTTTTCTTCTCGCGGCTTTTTCTTCTGGTGTGTTTTTCTTTTGTTCTTTTTTTCTGAGGGTAGATTTTTTTGTTGGTTTTTTCTTCTCGGGGTTTTTATTACTGTATCGTGTTCTTTTCTTTCTTTTTTTTGGTCTTTTGGTGGTTTTTCTTCTGGTGTTTTCTTCTGGTGTTTTTTTTTCTGAGAGCGTATTTTTTTCTGAGAGTGTTTTTTGTTGATGGTGTTTTTTCTTTGGTGTTTTTCAGTCTTTTCTTGTAGTGGGGGCTTATTTTAGAGCCGGACAGTCCAACGTAGCATGCCGCATGCCTTTTGTGAGCCACGCGGGGGTGAAATTTAGAGGAGGAAGGCACCATTCCAAAGCATGCCTTTTGTGGCCACGCAGGGGTATATAAAGTTTAGAACAGGAAGGTGCCTTTCCAAGGTAGCATACCTGGCATACCTTCTGTAAGCCAGGCGGGGGTGAAGTTTAGTGCGCGAAGGCAACATTCCAAAGCATGCTTTTTGTGTGGGCCACGCGGTGATAAAGTTTGGAACAGGAAGGTGCCATCCCAAGGTAGCATGCCTTTTGTGAGCCACGCGGGGGTGAAATTTAGAGCAGGAAGGTGCCAGTCCAACTTTTGTGAGGCACGGGGGTGAAATTTAGAGCAGGAAGGTGCCATTCCAAAGCATGCTGTTTGTGAGCCACGCGGGGGGTAAGCCAAGCAACGAAGCAACCAACGAACCCCACCAACGAAGCCACTAGACTTGGTGACATTGCGGGGGAGGCGCTGCGCCCATCGCGCCCCCTCCCGCTTATATTGAAGGAGATCAAAGCAATAAAACAACCCAGGAAGGTATACTACCTTGGCATGGCACCTTCCTCCTCTAAATTTGATCCGCGAACTGGTATGACATGGCATGCGCGCTACATATCAACAAGCTTCCATTGAACACCGGAATCTGTTCCACAGTGTTAAAAATCATTGTTGTGTTCCAAAATGAGCCGAATCATGTGTTCCAGAATGGGCTTAAACGGGCAAACTCTGCGTGTTCCAAAATGAGCCGAATCGTGTGTTCCAAAATGGGCCCCCCTCCCGTTTGTCGAGAGGTGTGGCACACTATGCCCAGACACGGGGTATAATCGGACGACGAGTTGGGGCGTGGGACTGGTTCTTGCCAGTGAAGGCAGTGCTCAAGCTGATTAGTTACTAGTAGCAATGTCCTTGCTACTAGTAACTACTAGTAGCGATGCCCTTGTTTTGTCCATGTCTAGCAGCAAGACATGGACGTAAAGAATTGCTTCTGACTATTTTCCAAACCTGGGTTGTCGGTTTGTTTTTGCGGTCAAGGAAGCTTGACAAGGTGCGCAGTGAACGACAGATTCAAAGCGAAAGTGTTTTGGTCTACAAGGTGGCCATGTAAATCACCAGGATCTCCAACAAATATCCTGGTGACTTTGCAATTTGCATGTTTTGGCTCTACTTCTTGTCCTTGTAGCAAGAAAGGCGATGTCGTGCCACCCCGGTCCATGCGCTTTGCATTTGAATCCTTGTGTGTCTTACTATTCGAATGCACTGATGGATGCCCCTCACTTTCTGCACGCCCCTCACTTTCACAGCCACCAAGATTGCAGGCATCAAAAGACCTGCATCAGGCACTCGTAAAACTGTATCTTTCAGTCTCTCTCTATTTATATATATATATATACATACAGACCACCAAACAGCATGCCTCACCACCTCATCAATATCAATTGGCGTCTGCATCACCTTCTCACATCCGCTGCAAATTTGTTTGCTTTTTGTCGTGTGTCTCCAGGCCTCAAGAACCGGAAAACGCTTTGGTTTTTCTCTCCCCGCTTTTCTCGGCACTACTTTGTGCAATCCCCAGACTGTCTAGGCCACCACACCAGAGGTAGTTTCTTCAAAAACAGCCTGACGTGACTGGTCATGCATATACCGTTGGCAGACCACATCCTCGGGCCTGATTGTTTCCCTAACTCAGAAGTTGCACTGCTTAGCTATTCTTAACCCTATTCAGATACCCCTTTTGAACTTCGAAGGTTGTTGGCCAAAGAGAAGCGGTGAAGGCTTTCATGTCCTGCTTGCGTTCGCAGGTTGCTTGCTGTCCTTCGTAGAGGCTGCCTTCAAACTCACGGAAGCACAGCAGCGGCTCTCCATCGACGCCACAGACGCTGCGCGGTGTCTGGAATTGGCTGAGCAGCGCTTCCCTGATGCCAAGGACTTCTCTGCGATGAGTCTCTGAGAAAAAGAAGACCTTAGTTTCCTATGCTTTGCTTATTCTCAGGATTTGCTTCTTGATTCTTTTGCTCCCAAGCTGTATTTTGCCTTTATCTCGCACAACACTTACACACCACAAACACCCTTGCATACTTGGGCCCCATTGGTGCACCAAAGCAGTAGCGCCGGAACTAAGCTGGTTGAATTCATTATGTATGGAGAAGGCCCTAGCAGCACAGGCCGCTCAGTTTTGGCGTGATGTTTTTGTTCGACAAAGTGCACACAAGCGCATCAGATCCCCTCCCCGGAAGATCCTCCTGGATCCAACAGTGGAAATCGTTCTATATTTTTTCAGCCGTGTTTAGCCTACCGGCAGAGTGTCTAGAGTCTAGAGTCTAACCCCCTTTACACCAAAAAAACTCCTCATTCCAATAGCTGTTGCCATGATCCTGGTCCAACATCACCAGGAATGGCTCCCCCAAAAGTTGGCTGTCATTCTGTAATAACCTTCTCCCGAGACCGAACCATTATACCCTACGTATCATTTGGGGCAAGCATTTTTCTAAATCGGAGGCGATCAGAGGCTAGTTTAGCAATCCTTCACCGCAAGATACCGCAAGTATGTATTTGTTTGCACTATGGAGTGCTTGATTGGTGAAGAAGAGTCGCAAACTGTCACTGCCACTGCAGAAAAGCCAAACCACCAACAACATTTTTGGCCACAAGTGATGCATCAGCAGTCCCGAGGTACTCAGTTTAACTATGTTTGGCTAGTATGGACATTTTAACGTGTAGTTTGGTCTCAGGAATCACTTGGACTTCTTGATGCTTTGCTTGAGGGGCATCCTCTTGACCTTCCGGAGCACCATCGTGGTGCTGGATGTCTCCTGGCGTCAACGAAGAACACAAACTGCGCGTCAACCAACCGTTGTAAGCTCGGGCCAAGCTCTGAAAGGAAGAGAGAGCGGGATCCTTTGATCTCAACTTGTCGCTTACTTTTTGAACAGCCCACTTGATCTCCATCATGCAGAATCATCCAGAAGAAACAAAAAGCAGATGTCAGTCTGAAGAGGTTTGGATGTTGGGGGCCATGCTGGCAGGCCCTCCCTTTCATTGTGTACCGTTCTTTTCCTCTCATTGAGCTGTAAAGTACTTGTGTATCAAAACCCTCTTGTGTGTATCAATGTCTTTCAATCACCTCCTCAAATTCGACGTATTCTGGCTGTGATGCCTCAGGAAGTAGACCTCCTCTTGCATCCACTAATGTCCGAGCTGCTCCTGAGTTGCATGGAATAGCGAAGTTCTGAAAGAGGGAAGGGTGGGCAACGGATGCGGGAAGAGGGGGGTAGCAGCAGGTTCAATGCTTCAGTCAGAGCTTATGATAGAAGGCAAAATGAAGCCGATCATTATGGAGACATTATGCAGGTGTTTTTTCTCGGGCATTTGTTCTTTGACGACAAGTGCTGGCCCCTGCCATGTGTTCAAGCCTCCACGCTCTGAAGCCAAGAATTGCTTTGTTTGAGGAATTTCCCGGTGGGCAGCCGGCAACCTCTAGAGCTTTCACCCGAACGTTGGGAGCTCCCGATGCATTTGCTTCAGCCCTTCCTCGCAAAGACGGTTTCTGCAGAGGTCCGCAAGGTGAGCCGTTGATGAAGTAAAGGGGCCTTACCTTCCTTTTTTCCTTTTTCGTTGTTTCTACTGTAATAGCGATGGCCTCCAACCTACTAGCGATGGCCTCCGACCTAGAAAGAATTGGGCCTTACCGTGCAGTATTACCTTCCTTACTTAGTGTTTGTTTTCTTTTTTGCGAAGAGTGGTGTTTTGGCACAAAAGCCACTACAAAACGTGTCATTGCCACCGTTGCCAGGCTATCGATGATGGGATCCAACAATTAGCTTTGCAAGCCAAACCTCATTTGATTCTGGCCATTGACAACTTTTACTTTGATTGCCTGGAGGGTCCTTTGAGACTTTGGCTCTATGAGTATTTGAAGCTGCAGCCGGCCTTGACCTCATTGAGCAGAGCTGAGATCATGTCCGCATTAGATGGCGGAATTGGGCAGATCACTAGGCCGTTGGAAAAGCTGGACAGTGATGAGCGGCAACATGCTTCCCAATTATTGATGTTGAGTCGTGATTGGCTCCAGAACTTGTTGCCCTTCATTTTGGGCAAAGTAAATCGTGTCCACTACGGCCTCCTGCGTTCCAAAGATCTCGCAGATTTGTCAGCCCGTGGCTACATGGCCACGGGGAGCCGGACGCAAGTCGCAGTGCCCTTCACCGGCTTGGAGACACCATCTTTAGCATCGGAGTTTGTCAGAGCCTCAGGCACTGTCCGTCGATGGTAATCTTTGGAGCAGATGTGGTATTTCCGCGGGTTGTGCAAGGCCAATCCTGATGTGGCTATTGGGTGGCAGACTTAGCTCACCATGTTTTCCCCTTCGGGGTCGCCTGTGGGTTCATAGGCCAAAGCCTGCCACGCTTGTCTTGTCACCTTGTCTCGCGAGGCTTACGATCCTCGCCTTTAGCTACGAAGGCATGCGGTTTTCGGATGTGAAGACGATGCTTCTTCTGCATGAGCCTCAGACCAGTCAGGAGGATCGAATCAAACTTGGGAAGACACTGGAAGACGGAAGACGGCTTTGTGCTTATATGAATGAATAAACAAGTCATAACATGCCTACCATTCCTCGTTAACATTACACACTTGTATATATAAGATTAAATGTGAAAACTGCGCACGTGTTTGGCACATGGTTATGCATGCAAATAGACGCCCTGCTCATCAATGCCGTTGTTTTCCACTTTTCACGACTCAACCCGTTTCACTCAAACCGTGGTTTTCGGAACTCTCAGGTTGAAATCGGAGTTGCTCCGTGATGTGGCGACTCCGCCCCCACAGCGCGAGTCCTTCCGACGCTTCAAAGAGTGGACGGCCAAATCTCCGAAGTCTCCTGAGTCGGAGTTTCTGCCGTTGGACCTGGTGCAGCCGGACGCGGCGACGATCCGCGGATTGAAGAAGCTTTGGAAAGAACGACCCGATGTTTACTGCTTTTACTTGAGGAAGGAGATCTTCCCCAAGGCCACACCTACACAGGTGAAGAAGTTCTCGGCGTGTGCACAGGACTGAGGCTCGAAAGGTTTTGGAAACTTTGGCAACAGAGCGCGTCTGTATAAGTGTGGCTGTATCGCATGATGTCGCCGGCCAAGAGGGAGAGAGGTGCACAACAAAAAGGCAACTTTAAGGCATCGTAAACGTATGCATACATGGAGTCCGGCCAAAAGTCTATAATTAAAAAAACAAAAAATAGATAAAGCGGTCGAAAGTCGAAAGTAGCTTATGATGTTGTTTTTTCTATTAGATTATGTAGCGGGCCCCCAGCTAAACACACCTATTCTGCAGCTGGGCGCTAGGTTTGCGGTAGACTTCCGCTAGTGTTTGACTTCGGACATGTTCAGAAGGTCGTCAGGCTTTGAAAAGTAGCTGCTTAAAAATGCGCTAGCCGCGCGCTAGCACTGCGCTAGATCCGCGCTAGCAAGCATTACCAGATGCCAGCATGGACCCTTCCAAAGCTGACTTCCAACAAGTCTTTTGTGTCAAGCATTGAGCATGGCTTGAAACTCGGAGATCAGCTGAAAACGGTGCATCGCTAGTGAGGCCTGTTACAATTTGGTGCCAATGCTTGTTTGGTGCATGTATCCTTCATTAACCAGCTGTGCGTGTGCGCCAAAAGTAAAGAAGGCCCCCCATGTGAACACGACTTGCAGCCATTTTTGGAAGAAAACATTTCGACCAGATCCCACATGCTTGTGTTTTGCACACACTGGTGCTGGGCCGTCTCACCGAGCACAGTGGCTCTCAAGCGAACTCGCAGGTTGTGACAAATCAGCAAGATATGAATATGTGAAGTACGTAATGTATATACTTGTAAAGCAATGTAATGTGATGTAATTAATGTAGTCTCTTTTAATCTATGCATATGGAATATGGAATGGTATGTTTGGTATGTTTGGTTTGCTTTGTTTGTTTGTTTGTTTGTCTGTTTGTGTGCGTATGTGATATGATGTGATGTGATGTCATGAATGTACCTTCAAGAGCTATCGACTAACGCGCCTTCTGGCATCAGGAGTTGGCCTCACCCAGCATCTTCAAAGTTCGCCTCGGTTTCTCCGGCACGCCCTCGAACATTTTACCCTCCAGCATGCCTCCGGTGGATTTCGACCACACAGATGGTCAGACCATGGCCATTTTGGCTTCGCCTTCGGTGGTGACTCTGCATTCGGTGGCCTCTGGTTGGACCGTTTGGAGCTTGTTGGATCTGGTGGCGAAGCATCGAGGTGAAGCTGGCGAGGCCTTTTGTGCCTTAATCGATTGTGGGGCCTTGCTGTGCGGCTTGGAGAACCAGGAAGTGGCAAAGCTCTTGATGGAGAGCCCCCTGAGTTCAATTAAAGATGGCTGTGTCTTCTTGGCTCGTGGAACTGATTTACCCATGATCTTCCTGAAAGGTGCAACACATCCCGTGCCCTTGGAGGATGCCAACTTGCGACCAGAACGGCGTTTCTGTTACTTCGATCAGCCTCACACCACCGGCATCGACATACAACAACCTGCTTTGGGAGTTACCTGGCAGAAACTAGCGAGCTCTAGAGCTAAACCGAAGCAGCATGATGGACCATGACATGTGTGGCATTTCTTCCCATGAGTGGTTTGGTGGTGGACTGGGGACTGACATCACCACTTGCAGCCATCGCAGCCTCATGTTCGGTGTTGCAAGCTTTGCTCAGGTGGCTGCCATCACTGTGGGTAAAGACATGTCCATCCGAGAGCTGCAACAAGGTGCGTGGCGCATGCGCGGCTTGGGCCGAGGCCAACGTTGCGAGATTTTGCTACCGGAGGAGGTGGGCGTGGCTTGAGAGAGGGAGAGAGAATGAGAGAGAGAGAGAGACAAAGAGAACAAGGGGTTGGCATTTGGCATTCCTGAAAATTCGTTTCAGAATTCTTGTGGGGCAGCCGTTGCTGGGCAACTTTCATGAACATCATGAACTTCCGAACGAAGCCAGGTGGCAAACTACATGCGTAACCTTTTGAAGGATAGGAAGGCCGTGAATCTTTCACCAACTGCGACGGCGCAAGCGGCGGCATTGAGGGACATTCAATCCGCCTTACTTATGAAGTCACTGGAGCAGGAAGAGTTGCAAGCACGCCAACTGGTACGACAAGATCTCACAAGCGCTTGGAAAGCACCTGCTCTCTCAATGCTGATGGATGGAAAATCGGAAGGATTGACTTCGCTCTTAGAGTTTGTGCCTTCGAGCATTAAGGAGGAAGAGTCCAAGACATTGGAGACATCTTTGAGGGATCTGGCGGCGCCCTTTGCAACATCTTCTTCTGTGTCTGGAGCTGTGGATGAGGTGGTGCAGCGTGCTTTGCAGATGTTGGGTAGCTTGGATCTTCATTCGGTTGGTATATAGTTATTCTTGAGTTTCCTGATTCCTGACGCCAAGGAAGTTTCTACTGTAATTAATTGAACTCGTGTTTTCCCAGCGTTTTCCCGGTTTTGCTGGCATGGACGATCATGACCACTGATTATTAGGTACAGGCTGTACATCCGAGTTTGCCTCTGGCGAGATTGTGCGTGAACAAGAAGAGCAGCAGCAACATGAGCACCAAATCGAGTCCGAAGAGACGGGATCTGTACAGCGACCTAAAGCTGGAGAAAGTCGTGTTTGGGAGCTTGGGAAGCTCAAGTCTTTGGCGGCCTTGCCTGACACTCCATCAGTAGCAGATGAATCAGCTCTTTTTGCCTTTCCAAGCTTCGCGAAGATCGCGGAGATTTTCATCGGCTGCGCTGGTGCCGGAGCCAATGCGGCCAAGACAAATCCGGTGTTGGCGTCTTTAGCTGAGTGCCGCCTACGTTTTTCTCCCAATAGCCGGGTCACTGTGCAGGTGCCCATTGTGAAGCCAGTTTTGGTGGCTTTGGAGTTGAGAGGAAACCGCAACCCACCAACCACCGTGGCTTTATCTTTGGCAGAGGCCGAATCCCTTCGCTGGGCTTTGGCCGAATGCGAGAGCAAGGGTCAGGACTTCCGCTTTTCTTTGTATGTGATCTCCGAGTCCCCCATGTTCGACAAAGATGTGACTATGCACAAGGCGGGAAGTCCTTTTCTTCAGAGCAAACACAATCAAGTGGCTACTAATCAATTAGCAAGTCAAGAAGCAGGCAAGCCGCATCAAAACAGAATACTGTAGAAGGTTCAGGAACAAAGTGCCAACAACCAACCCGATCAACTGGCATTTGTTCGCAACCTGCATTGACCAGCATTGCTGTGCAGCCAAGGTAGGCCTGTTGGTAGTGCAGCTGACTTTATGTCAGCGCATGAAACATTGGAAGGGGGGCCGTTGGAAAGGCTGTCGCCTGACAGTGACCATCTCATCCACAGGTTGGTTGGACTTTGTCCTAGATTTGAAGCTCAATCCAGAGATGCTACGCATATATATACATCTTGATATATTTATATATACTGTACATTTCGATTGCTATGTGAAGGCTATGTGTGCCTTGTTGCCAGGTGTTCTGTGCCAGCTCTGATTTCGGTCTTGCAGAACATCCGGTGTGTTTACTGCGCTTCTATTTGGGCGAATCCTGGTTTTCACTGCAGGCATCTTGGTTTTTGGCATAATTTCGTTGCTGCACGTTGTGCACTTCCACAGACCAACTGGAATCAGGAGTTGAAATGCCTGAAATCAATCGTTGGCGATCACCAGCAGGAGTCTGTTGCTTCCGGACTTTCATTTTTTTCAAGACAAACATGAGTTACTTGAGATTGCTTGAGTTTCATTCTGTTTTCTAGACTCTGAGACAGTATGCCATGCGCCATTTTCATGGATGCCGGGCATAAACTGTGGAAGGCTTGTGGCTTCGTGAGCCCAAGCGAATGGGATAGCCGGATAGCCCAATGTTGACCCGACAGCAGTTGGACAGGTGGGAAGGCTCTTAAAGGTAAACTGAGTAAGGTAGACCCAGGGAACCATGTTGGACAATGCTTTTTTTTGCAATATGCCTCTACGGCTTTTGGACAAATCACGGGGAAAGGATTTGTATGCAGCGCTGACTGACTGAAGAATCCAGGACTTCCGCCGGCTGCGTGCTGCAGTTTTTGATGCTCGCCGATCAGGGGGCGCGATTGATTGGTCCTGCACGCCGCTGGCTGCTGTCTTGGGGCATCAGTCTGCAGAGACAGGCACGGAAACAAGAGGGCAGCACCTGTAGAAGAGGGGCGTCTCCACATTTTGGAAGGGGCTAGAACAATCTTCTCCACGCCATATGGGCTTTGGATAGTAAAGAACTTGTGCGAGAAACTGTTGTGTTAGTTAGTTTGGTTAGTGAGTGAGTCAGTCAGTTAGTCAGTCAGTTCGTCAGTCAGTCAGTTAGTTAGTGTTACTTAGTAGTTAGTTATACTGTAGTTTGTTTGATTGCTTGCTTGTTGCAAAGGCTCTCGTACGATAAGACTTCTTTCAATCAACAGATCTGGAATAGGGATTGCAAAAATCTGGCTGTGCCAGTTCCAGTGCCGCCGGCCGGGCCAACATTTCTGGAGCGTTGCTGGGAAGAGTCGATTAGAGAATGTCTTGTTCATCGAGTTTGTCCTGCATTTGTGGCAGATGGCAGTTGTTTCAATTTAAATTTGTGATCACCATTGGCCTTTTTTCTTGGGAACATTGAGATCTCTGAGGCTATAGCTCAGAAGCCTTGGCAGGCCACTGGGCACGTCATGGGTTTCTCAGTCAAGATGACAGCCCCAGTCCAATCATTTACCTCAGGTGGCAAAGACTTTGTTGAAACCTATGCGCACACGCAGCAGAGCATGCTGGAAACTCTCCCAGAGTAGATGAGCGATGAAGGGTTCCTGCGCATTGTGTGCAAGTTTTACACGCGGCAGTAGCAAAGCGATGAAGCTGTGAAAAGGCCACCAGAGTCCACAAAGGTATTGGACCGAGACGGACGTGGTAGACTGGAGGTAGCCCGGTGTTGGCCAAAGTAAGCTGCTAACACAGCAGCATGCCAACCTGGGGAAAATTGCCAAAGAGCTCCCAGAAAGGCTGCCTTCGCTTTAAACACATATGGTTTTGATTGAATGTGCAATAATTTTTGGATGAAGGTTGAGGGTCTGCGTGACTGCATAAAAGAAGATATGTAAAGCCTCAGCATTCTTCCGCTTTTGGTGACTGGCCCAAGCTCCGTCCACACTGAAACTCTTTGGACTTTTTAATTGAAGACACTCCTTGGCTGAGCTACACTATGAACGCCCGACACACCTACGCCACAAACCTGCTCCTGCTCGCAGGCATGTTCGCTTTGGCATTTTGTTGCAGCATGCAGGGGCCAAAGCTCGTTGCAGGAGCTCGGCAAGCTTCGCGAGAAGCTGGCTGCGGAGAAGCTCAGGAGTGAGGCCATCCGATCGAGGGGGTAAAGTGTTACCCCAAGAAGGTTTCTTTAATTGCGTAATTGGTCCTGTTTTATTTCTTGTCTCAACTCCAAGGCTGGGCTGCAGAAGAAACAGAACTCTAGGGCTGTTTCATCAATGCTTTACTTGCAAATTGTCGACTTTTGGACTGTAACTGTGTTTGCGTTCGACGCTGGGTTTTGGCTCTTTCTCCAGCGTATTGTGTTGGCTCGTGCATTTTGCTTGCCATCCGGCTGCAATGGTTTGTCAAGTTGAGATGGACATCAGGATTGTTGGTCAAGATGCTTCAATGAGTGTGGGAGTTGATCATTCTGCAGTAACATTCCATCTGCATATGCTGGAACATGACCTTGGCTTGTGGCCTGCTGAACTAACTAAGGCCTTCATACACAGATACCTACAACAGTTGTTTGCTCACCAACAGCACTACGACTATGACTGCTTTGCTCACAGGCCTGGCCTGTGTACACTATTCTTGTACTTGTGCTGTCTGTGTTTGCCAGTAGTTGTCATGCTGCTAGGCTTGGCCTATCTACTTTTGGTCGCTGATGCCTATCGCGTGGGCAGGGAGCCGGAGCCCAAGACCCCTGAGCTGTTTCTTCAGTGGCCATCCCAGCATGTAATGTTATAAAAAACTTTCATTGGAAAGAGCCTGTTTTCTAAATTAAAAAAACGCCAAAAAAAAGTCAAAAAACAAGTCAATCCCAAAAGTCAAAGTCAAAAAAAAGTCAAATCAGAAAATTTCAGAAAGTCAAAAACATCAATTTGCCCAGATCCGACCTTTTTTGACATTTTTTCGACTTTTTAAAACACTTTTTTTTGGACGTTTTCTTTTGATTTTTTTTTGACCTTTCTTGACTCCAGTAATCCGCCAAGGCAACGAGCCACAGTTTTGACTTTTTTTTGAACTTTTTTTTGACTTTTTCGAGCTGTGGTCTATGGTGGACTTTTTTTTGTGACCTTTTTTTTTAAAAACTTTTCTTGACTCCAGTAATCCGCCAAGGCAAGGAGCCACAGTTTTGACTTTTTTCGACTTTGTTTTCTGAACTTTTTTTTTTACATTTTCGAGCTGTGGTCTATGGTTGACTGATTTTTGACTTTTTTCGACTTTTTTTCTTGCTTTTGTATTGGCTTTTTTTGACTCTTCAATTTGATTTTTTTACTTTGACTTTTCCAGTTGTTTTTTTTTGACTTTTTTTAAATCACGGATTCTGGCATTACCACATAAACTAGACGACGAGTGGCCCGAAAGCATTTTTCATCACGTAGGAAGTCAGAGTGTGAGTTATCTGTTAAGTGTTCAGTGTGAAGTGTTAAGTCGAGTGAGTTGAGGCAGTGTGTGGGTCTCTGTGTGTGTATGAGTCTCTGTCTGTGTGTGTGTCCGAGTAAGTTGAGGCAGTGCGTGGGTCTCTGTGTGTGTGTGTGTCAACCTCTCAAGAGAGCCGGGTGGTCGGGAGACATGACTCAGCTGCAGGGGCGCCAGAGCAGCCGCGAGAGATGACTCAGCCGCGAGAGATGACTCATCCATCCGCGTACTAAAGTTGTACTACAAAGTCGCCAGTTCTCAGCTTCCAGCTCCACAGATTGCTCCGCGTACTAAAGTTGTACTAGAATGTCGCCAGTTCTCAGCTTCCAGCTCCACAGATTGCTCCGCGTACTAAAGTTGTACCACAAAGTCGCCACTTCTCATCTTCCAGCTCCCCAGATACTCCGCGTACTAAAGTTGTACTAGAAAGTCGCCAGTTCTCATCTTCCAGCTCTCCAGATACTCCGCGTCCTAAACAAAGTCGCCAGTTCTCAGCTTATTGCTCCGCGTACTACAGTTGTACTACAAAGTCGCCAGTTCTCATCTTCCAGCTCCCCAGATACTCCGCGTACTAAAGTAGTACTAGAAAGTCACCAGTGCCTGCATTTCGCGCACTCGACACGCACGATCTCCGCAGAGGGTTGCGCGCGGACCGAACAAATCGCACTCTCACCTGCATTTCGCGCACTCGACGCGCACGATCTCCGCAGAGGGTTGCGCGCCCACAGGCCCAATCGCACTCTCGCCTGTGTTTCGCGCACTCGACACGCACGATCTCCGCAGAGGGTTGCGCGCGCACAGACCCAATCGCACTCTCGCCTGCATTTCGCGCACTCGAGACGCACGATCTCCGCAAAGGGTTGCGCGCGCACAGACCCAATCGCACTCTCGCCTGCATTTCGCGCACTCGACATGCACGATCTCCGCAGAGGGTTGCGCGTGCATGTGACAAATCGCACTCTCGCTTGCATTTCGCGCACTCGACACGCACGATCTCCAGTGGGTTGCGCGCACATACGACAAATCGCACTCTCGCCTGCATTTCGCGCGCTCGACACGCACGATCTCCGCTGAGGGTTGCATTTTCGGTTGACGCTGTTCGTCCCACCCTCCGCCTTTAAGAGAGAATTTATAAAGTGGGGAAGTGTTTTTCATTAGGACATCTCCCGTGCAAGTTTTCCATACTCATACTTGCATGCTTGCACTGGGACTGCGCTGGGATACTTGCATACTTTTGCACTTGGATACTTACACTTGCATACTTACCCTTGGATGCTTTTTACCCTTACACTGGGATACGTATAGACGTGTATGTGTTCAAGTGTCAGTGTGGAAGCGTCAGTGTTCAAGTGTAAGTGTAGAAATGTCAGTGTTCAATGGATTTTCCGGAAGAACCCTTCACAATGCTTTCGGGAAAAAAAATCCATAAATGTAATGACATTGAAGGCTCTTGGCAATGTGGCATTCTGGCCTTGGGGCCCTGTGTGTTTGGTTCTTAGATGTTCGTCGTCCATTTGCCGCGGGCTCTCATGCCTAGGTTGGAAGCCAAGAAAGCTAGACTTCAACCTGCTGTGTCGGGGGCTGGTCGCTGCCAGCAACTTGCAAGCGGTTTCCGATCTTGTTTGGCCTTAAATTAGGCAGAAAGGATGCCAATGTCGTCTGACCGCAAGCAAATCGGTACAGCTCAAGATGAGATTGATGGATTGAGGTATTCTGCAACACCCTCTGTTCTTGAGAGTGGCAGGCCCCCCCCACGAAAGCTCCTTGGCCAGCCTTTTTGGGTTGCAGTTTGCAAGGTAAGGTGGGCCGCTGGCCAGCTGGTCCAACCGATTCATTCCTCATCATTCATATTCTCTTAATTTATTGGTTGTGTTGTGTTTTTTCTTGCTTGCGATTTCTTACGGTGGCTTTTGTCCTATATTTTCTGTGAATGCCGCCCAGGTTTGGTCGCACTTTGTCCAACAAATGGGACTCTGACCGCTTTGTGCGAGCAGAAAGCCAAATCCAGTGCCTCCCGGGTTGTAGCTGCTTGACAGGAATGGAAAGGCGGAAAGGAACTCCAAAAGAGAAGCTTCCCAGAAACGAGCGCTCAAGGTTGTGCCGGCCCCTTCACTTGGAATTGCAGACTGCGAAAGATATTGCAACGAGCAGCTGGGCACAGTTCATAGGACGGAATTCTGAATGCAGCACGACGGCCGAATTCTTTGAAGTTTGGCTTGGGAAATCCGAGGAACTTTGCCATGGAAAGCTACTCAAAAAAAGACTTGTTTGGGTTATGTGGTTCGCCATCCATTCAACGACAAGGTCGAAAAGGCCGGGAAGCTCCGGACATGTGCAAGTTGCACACGGAACGGACCTTTGGTCGCACACCCTGACCTTGTGTCAGGGCAAAGCGCAGTGTTGGCTGATTCATGGAGACGCGCAGAGAAGCAAAAGCTACCCTGACGAAGTGAAGATTGAAGCTTTGCAAGGGAGGATGATTGTGATTTATATAGTATAGACATATTACCCATCCTAAAAACAGCGTAGAGATGTAGAGCAGCTTCCTGTTTCAGGTTTTAGATTCTTAGATGCCGGTTTGAAGTACATATCGAGGATCGAAGCACTTTGACTGACCATGAGAACGACAAGCTCACTTACACCAAGGCAAGACACATGGAAAAGGGTTTGACCGTTTGACCTGGATGTGTTTCTTTGCTCAGCTGTTTGTGCAATGAGATACGCCTGTTCTCGCAGGAATTCTGTGGCTGTGAAGCGCGCGTGGTTCACTTTCCAAGACTGGCTCCTTGGCATGCTCCTAGTAGCGTCCTCTTGCTCCTAGTAGTAAGGCCAGGAGCCATCAGGAGCCCCTAGTAGCTTTTTTGTTCCTAGTAGTGCTCCTTGGCATGGCGATTCGGACCTTCTTGGATCTTAGGAGTTTCGATCAGAGCTGGCAATCGAGCGACACAATCTGGCAACATTGAACAAGGCGCCGCCAGACATGTTTGCCTCGGAAAAGGAACTCAATCAACTCAAACATCTTGGTCCTCTAGGCTGCTAAACCACAAAACGTGCTCCACGGTCTAGCTGTTCGGGCCCCGAGAGGAAGTGGCGTCCAGAGATATGGAGGATGGCTCCA